TGCTTCCTTTAGTCTCACATAATCATTGGTGGCAGGTTTCATGTGTGATCCCCTCATTCCTCCCCACTTCATCAGTAAGAGCTGTTGGAAATCATTGATTTCCTTCTCTTTATTTGCAGGGGCGCGATGGGCTGCCTATACCAGGATGCTGGCATAAGGTATAATTATATATGTGATGTGGAGAAACCATGAGTCCTACTAGTTTTCCCACCATAATAGTGAGGATATGATATTGCATTATGACTGCAGTGACTGCTTCCTTTTTGTGTCTTCTAACAGTTTTCTCTTATTGCTTTCTTGCAGTAATGACTAACCTGGAGCATGGAGTTTGTACATATTGATATATATTTTGCAAGTAAAATTAGCTTTTTCTCCCAATTTTTTAGTCATCTCTTATTTAATAAATTGGGTTTTCATATGGGAGCCCTTGCAAAAATAATATCTGTATCGTTGCATTAACAAAAGAGAGGCTCTCCACTGCCACAATATCAAGTGTAGAAAAGCAATGAAGCGAGCATCATAGGTGCTGAGACTGTACTGATATTAAGAAGAGACATGAACTCAATGCTTGTGGATGCACAGAGAATGCTGCTGCAGTCTTTAAGGTGAGAACATAACCCTGAACTTTCTAACAGACTGACCAATGTGTCTGCAAATGATCACTTCTTTAGTGGCTGTCTTACTTTCCTGGGCGTCATTTGAAACAACCAACCCCACCCATTCTTTGCTAAATGTTTGCTTTGAAAGGAAGAGGTTTCAGGGCAGGGTGGCAAAGCCAAGCACCCATCTCAGCCCTAAAGGACACTGAATGGGATATATGGAGGGAGTATGCTTTGCCAGTTCAGCTGGATGTTTCCAATGAAAGGGCTCACCTGTACTACAGGGAGAAATGCAATGTGGACATTGCACTAGATTTGTACTGGTATACATATGGACAAAACTGTACTCAGGAAACTCTTTTCACTTGGTCAACAGGAAACAGCTTACTGTCTTTTGTTCCATTTCTCAGTAAAATACACCAGTGGAGAGGTGGAAAAAAGTATAATAACTGACTGATATCATGTAAAGTTGTCGTTGTAAGTCTTGTCTGTTTATAAGATCCCTCATAAACTAAAACAACTTTGGTCTTTTATTCATGTTTTGTTTTGTTCATTGTTTGGTCTTTTATTCATGAGGTTGTCTGCATCCTCAATGAGCATAATGCGAAGTTTGTGTAAATAAATGTATAATTTTTACATTTAAAGGCTTGCATGATTTATTGTCTGAATACCGTGCACTGTGTTTTACGTTCAGTTGTTTTCCCCCTCACTCTGTTTTGTTTCAATTTTGTAAAAGATGGAAATGTTTAATTACAGCAGTTTGTTTAAGAGAAAAATTTAACATTCTTGTGCTCTAAATGTACTTTACACAAGTACAACGCAAATGTTTCTAGCTACACAAATCAGTTTCATGTGTCGTGCTGCCAAATGTGTCAGACTTTGATGAGCAAGTTAGTTAAATTTGAAATGTTTATACAACCTTATTAACACCACATCTGGAATAAAACCATATCAAGAACAACTCTTTGAACTCTACCGCCCCCTTGAGTACTGAGGTGTGTTACTGCCACAATAACGCACAATAAGTATGTTAAAGGAGTCATATGATGCTGCTAAAAATAACAGTATTTTGTTTATTTGGTGTAATGAAATGTGTTTATGCGGT